CGCAATAGACGAAACAATACTTTTTGACTTAACTAATCGCATTTTCGCAATTTAGCGCCAACGCATAATCCGCACAACCAAAACGATTAATCTAAATGGAGAGGGCGAGGGCGAGGGAAAGGGAGAGGGAGATGGACGAGGGATTATCATCAGTTGGTTGCATTGTTGTTGGGCTGCTCGAGAGGCTCGCCTACTCGGCCTATTGTTCGCTATTTTGACAAGGACACGCAACTGGCCAAATGTTGTTGGGCAGGTAAGCGACATGCTAATTGGAAAACTCACCCACGAGGGCGTGGCCGATCTTTAGCTGATCTGCAGAGCTCGTTTCGCTGGAAATTGCGGCCCTGATGTCGAGTTGTTTTGCGGTCGCGTGGCACATCGATCAGCGGTTCATCAGGTTCGTCCTGATCACAGAAGCAGAAGCCAGCGTCAAGATCAAACGTCATGATCCTGCCGCTGCCGCCTTTGTCGGCGGGTTCAGCATCTGATCTTTGTTCTTGTCAATTTGTGTGAAATTTTCTTTGGTCAACTCTTGCGACTGGGTCCATCATTTGTACATTTTAGCCATGCCCGGCGCTCGACGCCAGCTTGTTTTGGAATTGTTTTGGCCGTCTTCTATAGAAATGCAGCCAAGTGTTTGAATTGATTTTTATCTTTTGCCCTACATCGTGTTAATTAACCTTTCGTTGCGGCTTCTTGAAAGTGGGCTGGAGCTCTGATGGCCATTCCAAGCGGATCACTCAAATGTTTTGTGTGCATAATGGAGTCGAGTCGAGTGCATCGTTCCATACGGAAATTGCACGCAGAGCATGATATGCACTTCTTCGCAGCTAAGTATATCACGATCTAGATCTGATTGTCATTGTATACCTATTCTCTTAACTGAGACAACTTTTTCATTCATGACAGAAGTAAACTAAAATGAACGGGTATTTTCGTCATGCCGAAGATCAAATACCCTTTCAGATATGTAAACTGGAATGTCTTCAGCAAAAGCTAAAGCTGAGGGACATAAATATTCGACTGATTATTCCTTTGGAAGCCATATTATATGGTAGACCGATCTGAAGCTGGTAATTGGTCGTGGTATATTCAAAAACAAAAAAAAATCATTTTTCGAGTTTTTCAATTCTATCTAGAACATATATATGGTAGCTATATAATATATTATTCCACGATATTTCTCATATATAAGAAACTCTGGCTTAACTCGTAAATGCATAGTTTAATTATGAAAAAGTATTTCAAAACCGATCTGAACTTTCACCGATCGTCCCTGTGACACATATCTCTATTTATAAAACCATGACTGACTGACTGACTGACTGAATAACTGATTGACTGATTGATGATCGACGCACAGCTCAACCCTTAGCAGCTAGGAAGCTAAAATTTTCACGGCAGTTACCGTAAATGATAAGGAGGCCATTCAGGCAGGGAAATTTTGGGTAATTCCACCCGCAAGAGTGGAGAAACAGCGAAAATCGCTTGCATACAACTTTTTGGTTTACCAGCCGATCGGCCTCAAACTCATTTTCATAGATCTCTTGTTCAAATTCATTTGAGGGATGTTTCACATGTGTTTGTGAATGTTTGTTGGATGTTTGTTTTAATATAACTTAATTTATTATAAGCCACATGTCTAAGCGTGTATTTCCATTACTCATACTACAATTAATTGTTATTTAAATATATTTTTAAATTCCCTTCGTTATTTTTGTCAAATTAAAACTCTTTTCTAATACTTATATCTCTAATCCCTTTCCTCCTTTGAATATAATTTAAATCTCGATTTCTAGAGCGTGCTCAGTTTCTAGGAAACGGCAGCTTCTGCCATAACTTAAGACACACGTCAAGTCCCCCAACCCAGCCAAATCCTGGGACATATCAGCATATCCGTTAGGCCCAAAGGGTCTGATAGCCCAAATGTGTCGCTGCAATTGCAACATTATATGAGAATTTATTGACACTTAAGCGTGATTTGGAAAACAAACAGAATAACGAGCTAAATACCCCTCATTTGGCTGCTGGCAGGGACCTTTGGCCCAGAGCAGCAGCAGCAGCAGCAGGTAGCCTCAGGCTGAGGATGAGATTGCGGCGGCAGGGTATCATAAATAGTCATCGCATAAATAGCGCGTCCTGTGACATTTATGACTCCATTGCGACTGCCGTTGGGTAATCTGTGTCCTTCTTCATCTTCTCCTTTTTTTTTTTCTGTACACAAAAACTTATCTTAATAAGCATTTAATGGTAGCGGTAAAAAGGCGCACAAACATAGTTCCACGTGTTGTCAGGCTCTTCCATTCCGAGGCAGCGAGAAGTGTTAAGTGGGCGATAGATAAGTTTTACAAGCGAGAACAGCTAGCCACGGGGGTGCCAAAAATTTGATACCCTGGCGATTTAGTCAGCCGATATTCAAGCCAATTCATTCATCTCAATTCGAACAATTCTTAAAATTGCGTGACTGAAACATTCGGTTAGTTTGGGCAACTGAAAAGGAAGTATCCGAGCTGGAATTCCTGGAATTATGCATATACTATTGTGGATATAGATAAAGATATCCATTTAGTCCATACTCTTCATAGAACTTTATCTAGTATAATATAATATAATATAAATAACATAATTTAAAGTAAATTCAATTAAAGAGAAATTGAATTATTCAATTAAAAACTTGAGAACCAAGGTCTTAATTAAAGAAATGCAGAAAATCAGCTTGATAATTCTAAAGAACTTTTCTTTAAAATATTATTTATAATTTCAAATTATTTTTATCATATATTTTGTCAAGCATTCTATATAGAAATATATCTATTTTATGATAAATTCATTTTAAAAGAAATTGCCTTCTTCTATTAAAAATTTCAGAGCCAAAAGTTGTTCATTAAAGTCTGTTTCTTGGATGCAGAAAATTTGTTTGATGAATTTGAAGAACTTCTACAAGAACTCAGTTTATATTTATTTTTTATGTCTCTTACATTTTGTCAATCATTCTATTTAGAAATTTATCTGGAGGATTTTGAAAAAAAAAAATAAAAATAAAAACAATAATATATAGAAAATTAAATTTAGAAGAAATTGATTTAAAAACCAGGGATTAAAGCAAAAACTTAAGGCGAGGAATAGGAACGAACTGTAAACGAAACGATCGAAAATTGTTGTTGACTTCTTCGAGAAAATAAATGCCTTATGGGATTATGGAAATACATCAATATCAAGATTCTAAAAATCGAAACAAATAAAACGTTTACCAACAAAACCTTGGGGTTTAACCTATTATTGCTAGAGTTAGCTTTAAAAAATAAAAGGTAATTAAAGGTTTGCAAATTAAAAAATATACCTATAAAAATTTAAAAAAAAAAACAATACTTATATTTTATTCTTTGACTTGGGTTTTTAAAATTAAAGAAACATTTTTATGGTAAATATAATATAGATAATTAAAATACATATGTATTGCAATATAAAAGTTTCAAATGTTTCTTGAACTTTCAACCTATGTACATTATACAAACTCTCTCTGTGGTTTAAAGAGAAAAGTATTTTGAATTTAAAATACAAAATTTAGATCGTGTGAAGAACAGTCGCCTTTCTTCTCTGAACCGCAACACTTTTTGGGCTTTCCCAAAGAAAGCGCTCGAATAATTTGTTTGTGCTTGTGACCCAATAAAGCACAATGCCTAAAATCGAAAGTACAACAAACCAAGTATAAACCGCACTTGGGAGAAATTCTTTTGTGCGGAGCCGAAAATGTGGTGCAAAGCATTTAACGAAGGATCGCTAGACCACAGACATGCAAACTAAATTGGCAACTGGCCAACAATGATGGCCCACACTGCGGTTATCATGAGAGCCAAACAAAAAAATATAACAATTGCGATCGAATAAAATGCAAAGATATTGGCGCAAGTATCGACAACAAAAGGTGTCTTTTATGCTTCTTTGATCCCTGATTGACCTTGGCAACAATTGTTTGACATATAACATTAAATATATACAGCATATATGTGCGAAGTGTTGGTAATGCTCGACTGGGAGATACCCAGCGTCGAGCTGCCGCTGCTAGCTGCCTTTTAAAAGCTGTGAAATTTATACAGCAACTGTGCTTCTTCTTCTTCTCGAGGCCCATATTAGATCTTGCAGTCTTCCGTAACTTTGTTGTTTATCGTCCGATCTTCATGAAATTCTCAGAGTACAAGTATGACATTCAAAGATGTGTACATACCAAAGGTCATGGCTCTAACTTTATACTTATGTTTTCTTTCAATTTTTGGGGTAATTGGCGGAGGTATCAAAAAGTGAAATATATTTAATCTAAATATACTATACAAGTATCTACATATCAAGTGTGCTCTATCTAGCTCTTATAATCTTCGAGTTATGCTCAAAAAACATGTCTCAAAATCGAAAAATAATATGAAAATGGAAGGAGAAATCGAAATTTAAATTGTAAACCAAACTGTGTGGGGCATAGATGAACATATACATATATTAAAAACTGCAACTCTCTGGGCCAAGATCGACGCGTTTAGTCTGAAGGAAATTTCTGGTTGAGATTGGCTCGTCCTGATCAAGAATATATATATACTATATGTGCCTGCCTCGGCCTGTTACATGCATTTGCGCAAAACGTTTATATTTTTTTGGGGCAGCAGAACAAAAGGAGCCCTAAAGAAAAACTCCTGTATGTATTTATGATTATGGAATGACAGCAAATGGCAGGTCAGACAAAGCGAAGCCGATTCCTCAGGTGGCAATTAAACGTTTTGACCGCAAGCCAGCCAATTTAGGGCACGGGCTAGGGCCAGGTAAGCGGGGCAGGTAAAAACAGGATCAGGGCCGAGGCCCAGCGAATCAGGTAAGAGCTGGCCGCGCAGCCAATCAACATTGAGCGCTGCCTGCTGCGGCTTCTGCTCCTGCTGCGGCTATTTAAGGGCCGGCTTGGTAGTGCGTCTGCGTCAGTTATCCTTTGGGCTAGCACACACGCAGACAACACAAACATGTTGACGAACAGCGAGGAGCACTTTATCGAGCACTTCTACTACAGCGCCGAGTGCCTGGAGGCGGACAGAGCCGAATCGCATGGCGAGCAGAGTCTCGGCAATCTGCAGGATCAGCTGGAGCAGTTCATGAGCCAGCAGCAGGACAGGGATTTCAGCGGCAGCGCGGACAGTCTGTCCGACGGCACCAATAGCTGCTCCCTGGAGCTGTACTACGATACGCCCGCGGTGCTGGAGCTGGAGCAAATGCTCAGCGCGCAGACCCAACTGCAGCAGCAGCAGCAGCAAATGGGCGCCTCCAAGTTCCAGACAAAGGCCGCCAAATACTGGCACAAGACGGCGCGCAGCAGACCCTACGATGCCACGAGCAGCAGCTGCGGCAGCTCCTATCCCGGCGCAGCTTGTGAGGAGCAGGAGGAGCGCGACGATTGCGGTCCAGATGTCCTGCGCAAGCGTCGGCTGGCGGCAAATGCACGCGAGCGTCGCCGGATGAACAGCCTCAATGATGCCTTCGATAAGCTGCGGGATGTGGTACCATCGCTGGGCCATGATCGACGTCTCTCCAAGTACGAGACATTGCAAATGGCGCAGGCGTACATTGGGGATCTGCTCACGCTGCTCTCCAGGGACTATTGAGGGGGGAGGAATGGGAGAGGGGAGCTGCGGGAGGCAATGCAACCGGGACGTGTTGTAGCAACACCTGAACCTAGTGTCAACTTTTAAAGGCTGTTAGTTCTTAAGCTTAGCTGCTAAACTATTTAAATAAGATTTTATTCATAGAGTGTTAATAAAAGATAAATAAGATTGAAAGCAAACTAAAACGATTATATTTTTATATTTATATTTTTAGAGGAGACATTTTAAGATATACATAATACCTCAGAGAAATATCGTTAAATATGTTTAATTTGATGCCGAGGAATTTTCCTTTCCCTGGGATTTTGATTATAAAAACTTCAATTTTTGTTATCTGGTGCCCAAATTTATTTAATATACTTTTATTCAAAATTTTAGTTTTTGCCAGATTTATTCTAGAGGCCAAACCATGAATAAAAACCAAACCTCGTGAGAATCGGATGAGATTTGACCAAGTTATGGGGGTGGGAAATTTCGACCTATGTATGTCTATATAGGATATTTGAGGGTACCATTTTTACATGAACTTTGACCAGGAATAATGTTGCCAGATTTAGATGCCAAATTGATCTAGATGCCAAACCATCAACAAATAAACAAACCACATGAAAATCGGATGAGATTTGACTGAGTTATGGGGGTAGGAAATTTCCACCAAGGAGGCATGGATTTTCCGAAAGTGCGAAATACCCCTCAAATGAGCTTGAACAAAGATCTTTGATAATGAGTTTGAGGCCAATCGGTTGGTTAACTTAAAAGTTTCATACAAATGTTTTTCGCGATTTTTTCACACTTGCGAGTGGAATTGATAATAAGATAAAATATAGATAAATAAAATATAAGATATAGGATAATATAAGATTATAAATACGTATCGGTTTTTTCAATGGCCATATTTGAAATTGAAGCCGCTTCCTCTGCCAAGGCGATAGCCAGCGTTTCCTCCATAGTTGAATCCACATCATTTATTGATCAAGCTGCCGTCTCCTCCATATTATAGCCGCAGCCTCCTCCTCCTTTGCTCAGGCTGGCATCGCCTTCTCCATTGCTAAAGTTGCCGCCTCCTCCATAGTTCAAGCTGTTTCCTCCAATATTTAGGGCGCCGCCTCCTCCTCCTTTACTTAGGCTGCCGTCTCCTTCAATATTAACGACACCTCATCCTCTATTGGTGAAGTCGCCGCCTCCTCCTGAGCTCCAGCTGCCGGCTCCTCCAAGCCGCTGCCGCCTTTACTTGAACTGAAGCCTATGCGACTTACTTGAATTCATGAGAATCGAGTAGTGGGGCACTAGTTAAGCTTAGCTAGAGGTAGACTTGATCTTGCATATAAACATACAAAATATATGCAAACATTAATTGACATATATATATGCATATATAATATATACATGTATACATACACATGCATATATACACGTATATTGTTATATATACACATACATATATATATACATACATACGTACATACAAACATATATAAGTACATACACTCATTCACGCACGACATATATACATGCATACCTACATACATTCATACATATATATATGTACATGCACACATACATACATATATACATACATACACACATAGATACATACATTCATACATTCACACACATACTATCAAACACATATACATACATATATGCATAATTACATACACACGTACATACACACATACATACATACATATATACATGCACACCTACATACATTCATACATATATATATGTACATGCACACATACATACATATATACATACATACACACATAGATACATACATTGATACAAGCATATATACATTCACATACATACTATCAAACACATATATATACATATATGCATAATTACATACACACGTACATACATACATACATATAATGTTGACTGTCAACTTTGCTTCAAAGCTTTTAAATGTAACAAATATGAATATTAAAAAAAAAATTCACACATTTTTCAGGTGCTGAACTCTTGAGGAATACCAAAAATCTGATGGCTTCACTAAATAATTTTTAAATATAAATACAATTTTTTTGTAAGATTTTAATTTGAGTTTTGAAATGTCGTTTCTTAAAGTCCCATCTAAGGATATGAACTAGTTATGCACATATATTAAATTTAGGGCCAACGATTTGGCTCATTAATTCACATTTTCCACATCTCTGGTCCTTGGCGTACCATATTTATTTTGAAAAAAAAGGTTATCCTTGAGAATAGACAATATCCTTGGGAATATATAACTAAGTAGCGGGGCGTAACGCCCACAAGAGTCAAAACAACAACACGATTGATGAGTTCCGACTTCCGATGCCGACACAGAGAACCGAAAGCCGAAATTGAAACTGAAACCGGCCACTTAACTGGAAGGTGATTAAGTGCCGCAAACGTCAACAGGTAAACCAAACACTGCGATCCTTAGATCCTGTGCTGAGCAGGACACGAAATTTGATTGAAACACAGACATATGTTAAAGAATTAAAGACAACATTTTTGGAAATTTTAAATATCACATTATCGTTTGTATTTATACAACTAAATACGCAACACGAAACTTAACTACGCTTAAGCATAATATATAGACTATGATTTAGTTACTCTAACTAGCATACTATATATACTAAACATATGACTTTGCTGCTCAACTGAGTTCTACATAAACATATATATATATATATATATTTTTTTTTAATTTCTTCACAAATAGTTTTAGTTTTTGCATTTGACGATATGATTTTTGTATTGCTCATGGTTTTGTACTTAGAGATTATAATAGGTCGAGTTCGAGTTCGAGATTTGGACGTCAGATTTGTTTAAACGAAACTTAAACTTATGTTCGGCATAGCCCCCCGAAAAGTCAAGAGCCCTTGTATAGATATAGTTTTCGGAAAGAAACGTGAATCAGTCTTGAAGTCAGTTTGGAATATGTCAGATTTGTCACGCTCCAAAGTGGAGCTCAGTCATTCCAAATAGTTAAGTCCATAGGATCTGTGAAAATATATATACGCTGTCCTTGTCGATAAGATGGGCCCCCCTTTATCAGTCCTTTGTTGTTTGTTAAGTAAATATTTAAAAGAAATCAATCTTTATTTAATTTGAAATTCTTTTTGAACGAGATTTTATGTTTTGTTATTACCGAACAGAGAGTTATTATTTGAAATATATTTCTTGTATGTGTAGACATTTAGTGAAGAGCATAAAACTTTGGCATGACCGAAGTTCATATAAGTAGATACAATTTAGTTACTAATATAATTACATTTATATATATTTTATATTTACAATATGCTTTGCTTACGTCTAGTGCTGAAAACTATAAGCAATGTTCGAAGTTAACTAAATGTTAGGTATATATATTTATAGTATGTAAGATCTATGAGCTAAGGCAACTGTAAACTTAAAAAAAAATGTTATAATTTGTTACTAAACAAGTCTTGAAAAGTTTTCCTCTTTTTTTGTGTATTGTGAGAGCAATTTGAATAGAGAGAGATTCGGATCGTTGAACTATTAATAGACTATAGGCCACGTAGGAAATAAACAGAATTGACTACATTTCCACTTTTGGCACATGGTTTGAAAGATTGTAAAACACAAATCTTTTTTTAAATTTTTATCAAAGCGGGGAAGACCCAAGTAAACCCAAAAATTCACGTACTGAAGACCGTAGATGCATTTTATTGAACGTGCTATAAAATAAACGCTTGAAGGCTTTACTCTGAATATTGCTTGATAGTTTAAATGTGTGTGCCTCTTAGCATAGCCCAACTGATATTGCATATAAGAAATTGCTTTACATCATATAAATATATATATATTTTTTTTATATATATAATTAATACATTTGATCGAGACAATATATTTGTTTTGGAAGGGAGACAAGGCGCAAGACTGTCATGCATATAATAAATATATATTATATTGTGTTTATCAGGAAATCGTTAAACTTTATGCTTATGCATACTGTTGCGTCCAAACAGGCTTCTATATAGTTTATTAAATAGCCAACGATCCGCAGTTTAAAGCATGTTAATTAAAACTACGCGTGTGTTTGTGGTGTGTTGTGTGCGGTCTGTATATGCATCGTAAGGCTAACTCCAAATGAGATAAAGTCAACTAACAACTAAAAAAACTTTGCACTTGCATACGCGTATGTGTGTGTGTTCTGTGTGGGTGTGTGTGTGTATATATGTGGTATGTTTTATATAGAAGCTATAATACGTAATTACATCCAAGGTTTACCACGCATGCGCCCGCGTCCGCCGCCACCGCGCATGGGCCCGCCACCTCGAAAGAACGGTCGCGGTCCTGGCCCGCCATCAAAGGGTCCAGGCATGCGCTGATAATTGGGCCTATATGGTCCCGACCAGCCGCGACCGCGTCCACGTCCGCGATTCATGTTATCCGGACTATTGCCAAATGCCTGAAAGGGAAATGGGCCACCCGTAAATGGCGGCCTGGGCGGCGGCGGCACGCCGGCTGGCCCATTGTTGCCCTCACTGCCGTTCCAGGGCATGGGCGGTTGCATTTGATTCCACGACTGTTGCTGTGGCGGCAACGGCGGCTGCTGTTGTTGTTGTTGTTGTTGTGCGTCGGCCTGCATGTCCTGCATGTTGCCAGCTCCAGTTGCTCCAAGAAAACTGTTATTAGCATCCCATTGAAATTCCTGCGGCGTTTCCAGCAGCACGGGACGCGGCGTTAAAACGCCATTAGCATCCAAATCGCCATCGGCAATCTCCAGCTGCAGCTGCTCCGGATTGGTATTGAGTTCTGCATGGAAATTGTTACATATAAGCTTTGCAAACTAAAACTAAGCAATTGATTGAAGGCCGGCTGCTACCATTACCTAGCTGCGACTCTTCCAGGTCCTCGTCGGACATGTCCATGTCGATAACCATATCTGCGGGATCATAGCGTGCCGAGCCATCCACGCGATCCGACTCTGAAGAGGAACCTGCAGGCAAACATTGGCTTTAACTTGATGCGTATCTATATTTATTTAACAGTTCGCCCTTACTCGCATTGGATTTCTGCGGCGAGCTGGTCTTCTTCACAAAGCTGCCCGGCGGCGCCATCATGGGTGAATTGTTGCCCAGACTGCGTATAGCACTGCCGGCCTCCTCGGCATTCGTTGTTAGCGCTGTGCGATAATCGACATCCCCGCCGCCGCCGCCAAAGTCCTGCAAAGCAATACATTTTAGTCCGGTTTTATAGACGTAAATTTGTTTAAGTTGGATAAGCCTTTAAATATGTCTCTAGCAAGTATTTAACGTTAACCTATGCGATTCTCATTCCTCTTACAACTTAAACAGTTAAATATCTACCTTTTTTTTTATAAAATTCTAGTTAATTACATTTATAACGATTTATCCTCATGCTTTTCCTACTCTTTAAACATCATATTTAAATACCAGTCGCACCTTTTCTGCACCACCGGGCGAGCCCGTCAGCGATATTAAATTTCTATGATCAATGTCCACCAGCTGCCGCGTTTGCTCATCGCTCAGCGCTGTCTTGGGTCGAAAATTAAATGCCGGCGGCAGCTGAACCGTGCGATGATCCACATCCTGTGCACCCAGGCCGGACACATTGTGATGCTCACTGTACTCGATGGGCGCGCTGCTGCCTTTGCGCTCGAAATGCGGCGGCGAGTGCGGCGTCGACTGCGATGGCGTTGTGTAGCTGGAGCTCGCGCCGCTGCTGTTCAGGCTGTTGTCCAGCGGCGTCCACGTCATGCTCATGTCCCAGGTGCTGTTGAAATCATCCGCGCCGCCCGACGATGATATGGCCGGCGGCATGGGCGGCGGCGGCGCCATCGAATTGCTGTTCAACGGCGCGGGCGTATACTGACTCTCCGTCTGGCCATAGCCAAGATGCGGCGGCGGCGGCGGCGCATACTCCTGTGCCGTGCCACCGAATATTGGCGGCGCTGGCGGCGGCAGCACACCGCCATAGCCCGACTGCACCTGACTTGGATTGTATTCATCGCTGGAGCCGTTACCCCCGCCGCCACCCAGACCCGGTATGGCACTGCCGCTATTCCCATTCGCATTGGTGTTGCTGTAGCTGCTGCTCAGCGGCTCGGGCTTATAGTAACTGGCATTGGGCGTATAGCTCTCATCGTCCGAACGTGAACCAATCACCTCAATGGCGCTGCCACGATCCTTGCCGCTAGACTCGCGCTTGAAGTCGTTGATGTCGAACGGCAGCTGACCGCCATCCAGGTAACTGGCGAAGCCGTTCAGACCGCTGCCGCTGAACAAGTTCTGAGGGACAGAAAAATCAGAAGAACTATATAGGAGTGTTCCCAATATCGCCTTATTCTGAATATTAGTAGTGAAATGAAATAAATTAGCAGGCGAAATTACAAAGAAGTTCAATAAATAAAACTAAGTTAGACATGGTTCATAATTCGATAAAATTATAGAAAGGTAATGTAGCTAAAGCTGAAAGGATGTTCAGTGTGGTTTAGATAGTAAGTTAGGGGTTCGAATCTTCGTAATGTAATTTTAAACTGAAGTTTCACAATTTCAGTATCACTTTGCATTTCTAACATTGAATCCGTGCGAAGCCGGGTAATTTATATTAGTTTTAAAATAAATAACTTGTTTAATGCATATTATAGTTTCATGTTGGAAGTTAGAACTGGCACTTTTACCCTATGAAACCTCTTGATTCAAATATTAGCTTTTGATTTGTTTTTGTGAATATAGAAAATATATAAACCTTACTAACAAGACTGTAGAAACAATACAATTTAAACGATAATAAATAATTATCATTAAATTTTAATAAACTGAACATAATTTCATAAATTTCTCAAAAATTAATCTATATAAGTTGGAACCAAGTTCGTGCTGATGTCACAAGTTCTTTAAGCTTACCACGCCCAGCGGTGAATTATTCTCATCCGGAAGTTGGAGATCCGCATCGCGTTCCGGTGACGGCGCATTGATATCCGGTGAGGGTATCGGACTGGAGAGCGTGGGTATAACCTCTTCCAGCTTGCGTTTGACTATCTTAATGCGCGTGCCAAAGCTTTTGTAGGCCTAAAATGCATACAAATTTAATTAAAATAAATATATATACATAGTTTCCGGTTCGACTTACACTGGCGACAACTTTGACTTCGCGTCCCTGATGCTCGTAGAACTTTTTGGCCGCCTCGATGGTCTCCACGACGGATTTGCGACTCTTGATCTCGTTCTGCAGATTCTTGTTGTACGCATTGATGAAGGCCACACAGCGTTCCAGCTCCTTTTCAATGTCGCCCGAGTGGCTTTTGTCCTTTAGCTGCTGTTTGATGGCTTCGATTTCGAAATTCGGTGGCTTTGGTAGCTTCTTCATGCTCTTGTCCGTCGTCTCCGCCAGCTCGACACATTCACGCACCTGCGCTATGAGCGTTGCGTTCTGATACTCATTGCTGGGATCGGTGCTGGCTGGCGCCTTCTTTGGCGGCGCTATATTGAGCAGACCGCTCAGATCGCTGAGGAATTCTTCGTTGTAGATTTCGCGCTGTTCCCAGATCTTAAAGATGCGCAAGATTTTGCCCTTGACACGTTCATCGCTAGAGGAAGAAAAAGATATGTTTATTTGGTTTGTGAACTGTTTTGTAATAAAATGAATTATAAATTTTAATTTGAAAAACCTTTAATAAGATTTCAAGACTATAGTTTTTATAATGTAACCGAAATATGTATTAATTAATAATGAGGTCTGTTTCTTTTCATATATTTAAAATAGTTATAAATAAAAAAAATATTTATAGAGTATACACTAGTCGAGAAACTTTGTATCAAGCCTCCGTTCTCTATATGAGCTAATATTTTAATCAAAACAAAGAGAAACACTTGGTTTAGGGTGACCATGCAAGATTTTGTAAAAACTAATATATTATTTTAACATATGGTCACACTTTTGTTCTAAGTAAATCTATATAAAATTGATCGGGATCTTCAAAAATATTACGTTTAAAAGAGATTAGGACACTTGATTGTTAATTTTTAATCAGTATTAAAATTTTTACAGGGTATAATATTTTACAGGGTATACCCAGCCGACAAATAAAATTTGTAGTCTACACACCACATATTATCTTTTGTTTAGAGTGACCATAAATGTTTCATCGAAAAAGCTTAGTGTATTCCTATTAATTTGTTGCTGCAAAATACAATTATAATATGTTGTGCTTGTTTTATGCTTTTCAAAGAAAATATGAACACAAAAAAACATCTTACACTTACATAACTGCTAAAACAGATGTATGTTGAACATTTTTACAGTGTATCTGCTAGTCGACCAATTTATACAAATAATGGACAGCTAGTTCATCTACTTACCGCACCATTGTGGTGGCTCTCTGCAGCGCCGTGGCCCAGCATTCGACGAACTCGTAGCGCTTGCGCTTGCTGTACTGTATGACATCGTTGGCCAGATAGAAGAGCACCAAGCGATGATCGACGCGAACTGCGAGGGGGGAAGGGTTAGGCGATTTTATAGCTATATTGATAATGTGAGTGGGCAGGGCAGGGCTTGGGCTTGGTCTTGGGCTACGCACCTCGCTTGAAAACGTTTAGCCAGCATTGGATGATCTTTTTGTGATTGAGGCGATGCTGCAGGCACCAGTTGGACATTTGCTGTATGCACTCCTGTGTGTCCTTGAGCGCCTCCAGGCGTGTCTCGAACAGTTCCTCGTCAAAGGTTTCACTTGTTTTGGGCATTTCGGTTTTTGTTGTTGTTGTTGTCGTTGTTTGGCTCATGTTGCAACGCTTAGCGCATTACAGTGGCGCGCCAATTTATGTTTGCTCTATTTTTCTGTATTTTGCGCCCAGTTACCCTCGCAGCGGCAGCGGCGACTTTTTTTTCTTCACTCTTTCACAGGGCCACACAAACACGCGCACTTTTTTTTCCAGCCGCAATTAAACAGTCAAACGGCGCTCTTGAGCTGCTTGCATGTTGTTTAAACGCTGCGGTGTAGCCGGGCTTAGGTTTTGTGTATAATTATAGCACTGAATTGCACGCGGTTTTTGCTAATTTTGTTGTTTTTCCTGGGAGTTGTATCTCAAGTGAACATGCTACCAAAGTGAGCAAACAATGTTTTACTCAACACTGATAGCTACATATGGCAACTGTGGGCACCCAAGAATGTTAACATTTGCAGAAACGTTATTAACAGCGCGCACAAATTTGTTCACAGAGAAACTGGGGTGCCGCTAATTTGCGTTTTGCTTAAAACGATGAAAGCAGTCCGGTAAAACTTGGTTTGAATAACGGTTACACGCAATTGAAAATTGTTCAGAGTGCGTTTTGCCTAAAAAAAAGCACTTGCGAAATGTTACTATGTAATGCACTAATTAATTATAACAGAGTCATAACAGAGCTCAGACAGAGCAGCTGTTCTGTGGATAAATTCCGCTTACAGCACTAGAATACACTAAGCATAATGTTAGACAGGCAGCAGCAGATATACAAACGCTTTTCCATTGGTATTCAATCGAGGTAAGAGCATTAATACTAATGTAAATTATTATAGTTACTCATGTATTTTAGCTATTAATATAGCATACAGTGGATAAATGCTTAACTCGGTTATATATTTGATTGTTTAAATAACCCGCGCACTTGACTGTGTGGCAACGCTGTTCAGGATGTACATTTGGTATTTTTGTTTTTGGCATTTTTTGGAGCTACTTGCTTGGGAGCACGGTGCATTGCAGCAGGTGGCGCAGCTTTGGCGTCAGTTTCGTTTGATAAACAGCTGCAGCAAGTAGGTCTCGCGCAAATTTTCCCAGTTATCGCGCGTAAAATTTCTCGCGTACGTTTGTAATATTCTCATTTGCCGGCAGTGTAAGTGATAACAGTAACGCATTGATAACGTGCGCGTGGGTGTTGAGTTCTTGCTGTCCTTGTCTGTTATACAGTCTGTTGTTCTTGTAGCGGCCGCACGCTCGTACTTGTGCTTCTTCTTCTTCTTTGCCGGCATATGGCGTCTGCCTGGCTGTTGGTCTTTCTTGATGCTTGTTGTTGTTGTTGTTGCCAGACTGCCCCTGGCACGGTCAAAGAAGCTAAGGGAAAGATTAAAGCTTCAATTGAAAACATAATTAAGGCATAATTATGCTTAACTTGCATAAAATGCGCATTACAAGAATTCGTGTACCCTGTAAAAATGGCGAAATGGGCATCATGATTTGTGTTATTATAGGTATGTATAAATATTCATGATCAGAATTAAATCGATCTGGCAACGTTTGACTGTCTGTCTGTTAAAGTTCGTCTATCAAGAGTTAGTCTGCTGGGCTGCACAAGTTCGTTTGAAATTATCGATAACTTTTTCTAATTCGATATATTTCGATTTATAGCCTACGTTTTTTCGGCATATCTCAAAGACTACAAAAGCTAGAGTCACTAAATTTGGTATGTAGATTCTCGAGTAGCAGACAAAACGTTATATATTTTCACTTCTTTGCAAAGCTCTTCCAGTTGCCAACAAAATTGAATAAAATCATAATTAGAATATCTGTAATTATGAGGCAATTCGCTGCTCATTACAGGGTATCTTCTAGTCGGGCACTTTTTAGTTGTTTGTCTAGTGCTTCTCGAACTGTAAGCTGCTTCAATTGTTTTGCATTCGACGCGTCCTTCGGCCCATTAGGGCCACGTAATTATTTTGATTACTTGGCATAGACCAAGTCAACAACAACAACAACAACAACAACAACAACAACATAAGCAGCAGCTGCAACAACAACAACAACAACAACAACAACAAGATGAAATTCCCATGCTGCGCTACTGACCCAGTGCCGCCGCCAAGTTGTGCGCCATTTGATTGGCGACGTCACCAGGGGAAATGCGCCGCAGCAAGCAAAAAATAATTACGCTTCAATTTGCTGCTCCCTTTCAGGATATCACTTGATTGAACCGCACATTAGAGAAAAAATAGAGCGGCGTTTAAGTGATTTCTGCTTAAAGCGCGTGTGAGAATCGCATAGAACAGCGTTAAAGCGATGTCTGCTTAAAGAGCGAAAGAGAGGCGCAAGAGACTCAAAAATAAAAAAGCAAATTAAAAACATTGAAAATTTAAAGAGCATTTAATGGATTTGAGATTTAATAAAGAGAGGCGCGACAGATAAAATATTTATAAAAATTACCTTAAAACAAAGTGAAGTTTTTCTTGACGGGTAAGTTACTTAACATTAACTTTCTTGTTTTAAGTTTTACAATATTAATATTAAAAGCAAGCCTTAAAACTATTAAAAAACTTACGATATATCAAATGAGCCTTGGGTACTATATACTAAATATATAAAAAATATTTGGCTTTCTTTATAGTCTGAATTCAAGCTTGACTATTAAATAATTGTAGAACTTGCAAACTAAATGAAAAAATAACTATATAACTTACTTTTAGTCCCCATGTTCGTCATTTAAATAAGAACTTTTGAGACAAATTCAACAAGAAATAATTAAATAAAAACCCAATAAAAAAGCAAATAAATAAATTATTTTAAGTCTTTATATTCTTCATTTGAGTAACAATTCTTGAGACCAATTCAACATGAAATAATTAAATAAAGAACTGCAGTACTTGAAATAAGAAAAAGGAGGCTAATTTCAGATTTTAAGTATTCATGTTCTTGATTTAAGTGAGAAATCTTGAGACAAGTTCAACAGGAAATACTTCAATGAAGAACTTAAAGAAAAAAAAAACTAAATAACAGACTTTTAAGTTGAGTAAGTATTCTTAAAGCAAGTTCTATATGAAATAATTACAAGAAGAGCTGAGTTACTAGAAATAAGAACATAATGAAAACAGATTTAAGCAACTTATTTAAATTATTAATGTTCTTGATATAAGCAACAAATCCTGGGACAAGGCAACATAAAATATTTATATGAAAAGCTGCAGTACTTGAATTAAGAATTTAATGAAAAAAGATTCAAATAACTTAACTTAACTTAGCTTAATTGAAATATTTAATAGAAGAGCTGAGAAGTACTTGAAATAAGAAAGAATATATTCTAGATGCAGACTTAAAATTGGTTCGTCTGATAATTCCTATGACAGCTATATGATATAGAGTTCCCATTCGACCATGTTAGAGATATATTTGGTTTTTTGTTGAGATTCATTGAGGTATCTTTTAGGCTGTTTGATAAGTTTTTAATGAAACAGACAGGCAATCAGACAGGCAATCAGACAGATAGCTATCAAGAATATAAAAGTATATATACTGAGCTACTAAATGTTATTCTCTTAAAACCCATTTTAAGCTCAAATTCGTTTGCACTCTTATACGAAAATATGATTTTCTCGCTCGGTTCTTTAATTAGCAGACAGCCAAACTATCTGCAACTTATGTGCGAATGACGTCAATAGTTTCTTGAATTACCAAACTTATTTAGATTGTTCTAACTGATCCCACGCACACACACACACACACACACACACACGCAAAACAATAAACTTTAATTAGCAACTAATTCAGCGGGCGACGCTGATGTGCTGCGTTTTAACGTTGCCGCTTGTAACCTGATTTCCAGCTGCCCTTTCGGCAGGATGCGCGTTCTCCTTCCACGCACACATTTGTCAATTAGCTGTCCATTTGCAGCGACAGCTTACCGCAGCCCCTACTCCCCTCCCCCCCTGCCCTGCGCCCCTCCTTCACCACATAGAGCCCGCCCTAAGTCCTTTAGGTCGTACTCCAAACAATATTCAACTGCGTCGCAGTTTCATTCGAAAATCCCTTGGGTCCGACACTTCCCGGAAAATTGTGTTTAAACTAGCTTTTAAATGGGGTACGCCGGGATTTCAGATTTCCCCATAATTTTCTTTAATATCCCCCTCGCTGCGTTTCCAGCTAACGTGGCTGCTTTTGATAATATTATGACAAATAATATAAAAGGGAAAACTTTCTCTGGCCTTTCCTTGCACTTGCAGTTCAATTTTCAATTTTAATTCCGGCTTTGATTTGTCTGCGAGGCAGTAAAAGTAAAAACTGTAGCACACTTTTCAGCGCCCACACATGCAATATTCCCATGCAAATAAATAAATACACGGAGCCAACGTTTTTAATATTGTCTGTTTGAAAGATGGATAAATATCATTAGTAAACATGCCAATCGACTCGCCCTTGCGAGGGGAGTACGATAATTTAGTCAGCTGGGAATAGATTTTGTTGTACTTAAACTTGAAATAACGAGATTGAAAGCAAATTGCTATTGAACCAAAATGAACCTAGCTAGTTAGTGCATGAATTGGAGAAGTCTTTAAATAGGCTGCTGTCAAATATATCTTAGCCTTAAATTCAGCATTAATCTGAAGATTAAACCTTGATCAAAGTAACGGCAATTATGAAAATCGTTTCAGTTTTGACCAAGTTAAGCTAGTTTGAAGTCTGGAATGAGATCTTGAGAGCTTAATATATCACAATTCTTTTTATTAAAATGCCCCCGTAGAGGAAATACATTATTTCAAATATAATATTTAATATATTAAATATTATTCTTAAGTAGTTTAGACAACTTTTTTGTACTCTTTTCAAGATATTTTGTCCTCTCTCGACATTTAAAAGTTTCACTATGCTTAAAATCTTATCAACATCGAACCCCAAATATCATCGCACATATCTGGCAAAGGCAAATTTTAAATACATTCCTCAAAAATGTGAGAAAAAAAAATATCTTAAATATTAAATGCGAAGTTTGTTTTGGATTAAACCTAGAACAAAATGTCATCAATTATGAAAATCGGATTAGTTTCGAAAAGTTCTGGAAGTTTAAAGTTTCTGATATATTTACTAGGAGCTTGGTCAATTGAATGCCAAAATCTTTTTATATATATTGGGCATTATTTTTGATTAAAAATTGGAGCACTTCAAAGGCTGTGGTATTCAAAAGCATTTAAAAAAATAATTTATATTAAAAGCATAAAAAAATTAATATTAATAAAAAAACGTACAGGAGGAACTCTTGGAAATAAATACTTAAGATCATAAACCTCTGAGAAATACTTGTTTTTTGCCATATTTAAATTAGATGCCTTTATCAATGCTGAACTCTTTTATCTTATCTTTTATACCTCTGTTAATTTGTGTACTTTAGTGG